TTATGTTCGTTATTTTATGTTAGTTCCCCACCTGCCAGGTGAGGGTTGTTAGATTTTATGTCAGTTGCCTCCTCGTCCTCCTCCTCGTCCTCCTCCTCCTCCTCCTTCTCCTCCTTCTCCTCCTCCTCCTCCGCCTCGTCCTGCCTCGTCCTCCTCTCCTCCTCCTCCTCGTCCTCCTCGTCGTCCTCGTCGTCCTTGCTCAACTGCGACCCGCGATCCACAGTGTTCTCTGCCGGACCTCAACCACGACCATCCACGCCCAGTGTTCCCTGCCGGACCTCAACCACGACCATCCACGCCCAGTGTTCCCTGCCGGACCTCAACCACGACAATCCACGCCCAGTGTTCCCTGCCGGACCTCAACCACGACCATCCACGCCCAGTGTTCCCTGCCGGACCTCAACCACGACCATCCACGCCCAGTGTTCCCTGCCGGACCTCAACCACGACCATCCACGCCCAGTGTTCCCTGCCGGACCTCAACCACGACCATCCACGCCCAGGGTTCCCTGCCGGACCTCAACCACGACCATCCGTGCCAGTGTTCCCTGCCGGACCTCAACCGCGGGTATCCATGCCAAGTGTTCCCTGCCGGACCTCATGTAGGAAGATATGGGACAAAGAATGTGCAGAAGAAAGTTAGAAAGAATGTCAGAAAGAATGTCAGAAAATATGCCAGAAGATATGCCAGATAGAATGCCAAATAGAATGCCAGATAGAATGCCAGATAGAATGCCAGAAGATATGTCAGAAGATATGCCAGATAGAATGCCAGGTAATATGCCAGAAGATATGCCAGATAGAATGCCAGATAGAATGCCAGAAGATTTGCCAGATAGAATGCCAGAAAATATGCCAGAAGATATGCCAGATAGATATGCCAGAAGATATGCCAGATATAATGCCAAATAGAATGCCAGATAGGATGCCAGATAGAATGCCAGAAAATATGTCAGAATATATGCCAGAAGATATGCCAGATAGAATGCCAGATAGAATGCTAGAAGATATGTCAGATAGAATGCCAGAAGATATGCCAGATAGGATGCCAAATAGAATGCCAGATAGAATGCCAGAAGATTTGCCAGAAGATATGCCAGAACATATGCCAGAAGATATGCCAGATAGAATGCCAAATAGATTGTCAGAAGATATGTCAGATAGAATGCCAGAAGATTTGCCAGTAAGAAAATGTAGAAATGTCATGGTGGGGATCACACGAAGTAAAGTAATTATTTTTATGTTCGTCATAGTTATTTTGTGTTCGTTATATAGTTATATAGTGATAGTCCGAACCAAACATCATGGTTTGATATTGTTTATCATTGTTTGCCGACTTTTGCTGATGATGTTCATTAGCAAAAAAATGTAAAGTATAGTTATAACCCATCCAGTTGGTTTATGGTTGTAAGCAACTCAAAACAACATATATATAT